GTTAATAACTCCATGCAACAGAAAGGATTAGTTTTTCTAGACTTACTAGTATACATTTCAAATAGTAGGCTATTATGAATTCCAAACTAATGACTTATTATCAAAATTATTTTTACTTTATACCTATTGAAAGGAAATGATGCCCATAATTATTATTTTTTCTTTGGGCAAGGGGGGATTTTACGGTAGCAAAAAGTAATTTTGCCCTTTCAGCAGCCTTCTGGAGACTTTCTACTTAGCTAGAAACTGATTCTCAGTACAAAGGATTCTTTCAAATTACATCCCTGAAATAATGATTTTTAGGCGGGTATGAGAAACTGTAAGGCATAGCTGCTAATGATCACAATAAACATAATAAATTGCAGCACCTCTGCTGCAGTCCACCCAAACTGGAAAGGGATTTAAAAGCCTATCAAGCAAATCATGGATGGCCAACATGTGGCCTTCCAGATGTTGTGGACCTGTAACTTACATTAATTCTTACCACCTTTCTGCTGAGAATTGATTGGAGTGGAGTTAAACAGGCCTTGGATGACCACATAGACTAACATCTATGACTTACTTTGCATGGGCAATCAAATTAAATTATAAAATGCTGAGGAAGATTCAAGCTTTCCAGATGGCAGATGGTTATCATTTTTAAAGTCCTCATAGGATAATGATAAAGCAGAGGCCACATATTTTCAAAAAGGGTCTTCTGGCTGCCAGAAGAAGAAAAAAAGCCCAGAAACTAGTGAATTGTGATTTCACTGAATTAGGGCTGCATAATATCTTGGTTTACGTAGGTAGAACCTGGCTAAAGACACACACACACACACACACACACACACACACACACACACACACACATATATATATATATATATATATATATATATATATATATAGAGAGAGAGAGAGAGAGAGAGAGAGAGAGAGAGAGAGAGAGAGAGAATATATGTGGGTGCATGTCTTCAATCTAAATTCTAAAATAGTCTATTCCTATCTCCTATATCCTATAGATACACAGTTCAAATGAATATTACTAACTTTCAGATAATTGTACTGTTGTAGTAAGCACTTTCTGTGAAGACTTCTGACTAAGGGGAACAAAGGTTTTACAATAGTGGTTTCTAAAAATGTTCAAGGATTTTTTTTCTCCCCAAGAATATGTGATAGGTACACTTCTTTATTGTCTTTTATGATGCTGTTCCATGAATACTAGCTGAGATTTTCCTGATGATTTCTGACATACTATCTGTTGTTGTGGAAGACAAGTCGTGTTAAATGCAGGGGTTCTTTACTTTTCTTTGAGACATTTTATTTCATAAAAAGCTCCATATATTGTAGCTATAAACCATATGTAAGTCAATGGTGGAGTTGTTGTCCTGTATTGGGGTCGGTGGTAGTTGGGAGTGGGGGTTTACAGGCAGTAGTAATACTATGGAAATGCTCCCTTTGTCGCTAGGCAACAGTGTTCTACCTTCCTGTCCCTCAAATGTAATGTCTGTGAAGTCAGTAGCTATTCTCCTCACTTGTCTTCCATTTTCTTGCATATTTTGTACCAATTAGATGCATCAATTAAAAGTTTTATCTAATATATTTTACTTCTCATCCCTATTTTAAAGCACTCTCCCCCCAACACTTAATGGGTCCAGTCTAATTAAATGCAAATAATAATACAGAATGGAAAGTTTTACTAAGTGAACCAAATTATTCAAATGATCAGTTGTGGAAATTTTGTAGTGGAAATACTCTTATGAAAGGATGTTTTATGGAATTCAGTTAACCTAAAATGATTCATACAAACTCCTAAAGATTAGCATGACACTAAGGAAGTGAAAATTCAGCAAAGATAAAACATGAAGCTTTGCGGGAGGCTTCCAGTTATGACTATAATTGTAAATTGGTGCAATCGTAAAACAAATCATCTGATGATTGGACTTGATTTAATGACCATTTTTATTACATTGTTAAGCAAATGACTGTGATCATTAAGGGAATCTCATCTCCCCAATTGACTTTGATTGTCAGAAGCCAGTTTGTGGGAAGGTCACAAATCATGATCATGTGATGTCAAGACACAGCTCTCAGGGTTCAAAGTAACAGTCCCAACGAAATCAAAGCCTGAGACTTGGAGTTTCCTCAAAGTAAGAATTTATTAGGAATGCCATATTGGCACAGCTGGTGAAAACCCAACTCTGAAGGACCCAAGGTTTTCCCCACATAGATCAAAATCCAGAGTTCATGCCCCCAGGTCACACATCCATCACATGGTCCAACATAGTCCTCCTCTGGCTGTCTTTGGTCCACGTCTTCCAAACACCCGGTAGGGATGTCCTTGGCTCCCATGGGAAAGAATGTTATTTTGGCTACACTTTCCCCCAGTTATCTCTATCTCCCCTCTCATGTTCCCACAGCTGCAACCGGCCTTGCTGTGGCAGCCCTGAAGATGTCCAAAATGGCTTCAGGGTTGTACAACGGTAACTGCTGTAAATATGAGCTGATTGACAAGCACCCAAATTGTAATCATGTAACCATGTGAGTGGTGCAACAATCATAACTTTGAGGATGGGTCATAAGTCATTTTTTCCGAGGCTGTCGTCACTTTGAACTTTAATTAAAACAACGATATTAAGTCAGGGACTATTTGTACATGAAAGAATCCTCCATGAATAACAGGATAGTAAAACTACATGCAATAGTCTGTGAGAATAACCTCGGGAGGCAGGAGGAGGAGAAGGAGGAGGAGGACGTATAGTCTAGGCAACAGATGACAAGAGATTTGTTAGCCTATATAAGGAATGGGGGCATGAGAAACATCTCAGAAGGGATCTCCCTAGTTTCCTGGAAGATAAGTCAAAGGAGGGGAAAAGTGCTTTCAAACTTGCAAGATCCTGTTACTGAAACCTTACATAAAGGCAGCATTAGTACCCAGGATTTTTGCTATCTAGCCTAGACTACCTCAAAGGGCTGTGTCATGCCTCCATTGGAGTCTGAATCTGAGACGGAAGATGAACAGCTGACAGAGAGCAGGAGAGTGGCTCTGTTGGCTGTGGAGGAAACTGGGGAAAGGCAAAGTCAGGCTGGGCATAGCAGGGGAGAGGTAGAACAAGGGAGAGGGGGTTCAGATGAGGACTAAGGCCGACTCCCCTCCTCATCCTAGTGCGTGCAGGGAAGAACTCAGAAGAGAGCAATGGGTTGCATGGCTTACGAGGAAGGAAAGGGCCCTGATTCCCTTCACAAGGCACACCTGGGGATGGAGTTTAAAGGAGACGCAGTTGGGAGGGGCGTTTGTCAGGAACAAATGCTAAATTCATCTAGTGTTGAGAGTGGGGCCTGCATTCCTGGCATTCCTCCTGACTGTTTTAATTATAGTCGTGCTTCTGTGTGCTTATCTTTTCTTGCTGGAATTATTGCTGTGAATTCTTTGCTTTTGGGACTCATGATCTTGCCCTGCTCGAGTGATTGATTTGCAGTCATTCTGCTTACAGCATTTGGACTGGAGTATCTGCGGACACTCCAGTCCAAGCTGGAGTGCAGGTTTGTGGGAGAGCTTTTCTCCAAGCTGGAGAGTAAATGGGATGTTGGGGGCAAAGTTGGTGCCAATAAATGGACTCATACCAGTTTTCTGGCTGTGTTGCCTTCGTGCCATGCCCTGGTCTTCACAGGCTGATTGTCACCTCTTGAAATGATTCTAGCTGAAACCATATTTTTCTTGTTTTGTTTCTTTGTTGCCATACTTATAGGTGGGGGAGGGACTCATGGAATGTAGGATGTCTTTCTCCAATGTGCCAGACATAACAACGATAAGGCTCCTGAGAACCAAGGCCAGATCAGTGTGTCTTAGCAATGGCAGGAGGGAGTGCTGAGAAGTTCATCACCTGCTTGGTTGGAAAACGTGACCTGTGACGCAAGGGGGCTGGACAGTATCTATTCTTTAATTATACCAAAAATGTGGGAATTATTCAGTGTTGGTTTCACATTTGACTGTGCCGATATGATGTACCCAATAAACAGGATTTTTGAGGAAGCCAAGGCCTCAGAGTCTTGAATTGGTTGGGAGCATTACTCAGAACCATGACACAGACGTTGTATAAGATAAAATCTGGTACAGTAAAAGTAAAGTTATTCAATAACAGAGAAATGCTTGGTTTACAGTGCTTGAGAAACTGTATGGACTGCTGAAAAGATAAACAATAACCCAGCACTTTTATAGCATCTACTGAAGACATGGCCCACTTATAAATGATTTAGAAATCAAATAGGCAAATGGCCATTCGAAGTAGTTAAAGAAAGACTCATTGGTTTGTTTCAATTGCTGTCAAACAGTAATTATCAAAATACAAAACCAGCATTGCAATAACTACATTTCATTTAGCTATTTTATTTTTATTTATTACGTTTCTAAACATCCACTTCCCAGTGACACCTGGTGGTTCACAGATAAAAACACCCACAACACACACATTGTATAAAATAATATAATGATAAAATCAAAGAACAGAAGATGGCCCAGTCATCCTTATCAAACACCTGGGCACAGCCAGATCTTCAAGGCTCTCTAAATTACCAGCATGATGTTGGGGGACATGTACACAAATGAAGGCAAACACAAAGAGAGAAGACTGGAATCTTTTTCAGGGACCCCCCTCCCCAAACAAATTACATTCAGACAGAGAAATTTTCAAGCACCCAGACAAAAAAGCTAAAGTGACAATCAATGTGGAAGTGACTAATGACTGAAGTTGAATTTTTAAAGCTACACAGAAAAAAATTATCAAAAGGCTGGTGGATTAACTCTGGAGTGCTGAGTTATCTGACAAGTGATAAGATCTTCTTTAAACAATCAGTACGGTGTGTTAAAGGATGGGTTTATCTTGCTGAAGGAATATGAAAGCTGAGATGTAGTAATGAATCTCAAAGACACCAACTAAACTGGCAATGTAGCCTCATATCTTGCATGTTACAGACGTAGAAGAGTTTTTGCCAATAAAAAAATTAACAGAAAAAGGACTTACAATTATATACTGTATGCATTATTTACTCCAATTTCAGGACTCATGGCCAGGGCCCCAAAAGATGAACTCAACCAATGTGTCCTTTAAAAAGGCAGAAATCTGTACAAGTAAGCAACAGAATGGCATAACAGAGTAATATAATATTTGGCATAATTGTTAGGTCATAGGCAGTTAGAAGACATATTAGAATGACAGAGACAAAAGTTTAAAAAGAATGTCAAGATGATCTCATGATCTGAAATAATAAGAAATGTATGTGGTATCAGAATGATGGCTAGATCTACAGATCTTTTGTGTAAAATAACTGAAAATAGAAATGAACTTTTGCACAGCAAAAGTCATAGAGATCCAGTGACTTTTATTTATGACTCTTCTTGAAGACAAGTTGCTTAAAAAAACTTCATAATAATACACCACTAAGTTAATGGATTTTGTAAAAAACAGAAAAATCAGTTAATATTTATTCATTATTTTATTAATTTGATTTATAGGACCACCAGATAAGAAGTAACTCAGTAATAACAAAGAACAGAATGATGATGGTGATGATGATTTTAAATCAGAGAGGAAAAGATAATAAACATGTGGCTCTAGGACAGGGGTGTCAAACTCGTGGCCCGCGGGCTGGTTATGTCACTTGCTGGCCCTGCCCCAGCCCGGTTTAGTGATGGGGAAAAAAGTCCCGATATGTCACGTGATGCTGCTGCGAGTTTGACATCCTTGCTCTAGGACAACAAGTTTCCCTCCACTGATCTAGAGCAATAAATAAAAGTCCATATAAGATCCATAGATGGAAAATATTGAGGATCCTCTTTCATTACTGTATTTATAAAGCACTCACTGAAAAGAAGGTAGTTTTGTGCCTGATGCCACTAATCCAAGGATTCCCAAACTGGGGTGCTTGCACCCCTTGGGGGGTGAGATGATATTCCAGGAGGTGTGAAAACTTGGGTTTAGAAGTTTCAAAATTATAGTGCATATGCATAATTGCCGTATTTTTCAGAGTATAAGACGCACCGGAGTATAAGGCGCAACTTAGTTTTTGGGGAGGAAAATAAGAAAAAAGCTGATTGGCAGGTGGATCGGCCTCCCGGAATACCTCCAATTAGCTGTCCCCAGAGGTGAATTTTAGCAACAGGTTCCTTGGTTGTGAGCTCTGTGCCTTGCTTTTTTTTTTTTTTTTTTTTTGCTTTTTTTTCTGCCTCTGAAACTTCTGAAACTCTGTTTCAGAAAAAACTTTTTTTCCTGCCTCTGAAAGCCTCCAAAACAGGGCTTCAGAAAAAAAGCCTCTGAAGCTCTGTTTGGGGGCTTCTTTTCTGAAGCTTCGTTTCTGATGCTTTTTTCAGTCTCTGAAACCTCCGTTTGAGAAGCTGGGCAGGGCTACATTCGGAGTATAAGACGTACCCAGATTTTCACCCACTTTTTTGGGGGGAAAAGTTGCGTCTTATACTCCGAAAAATATGGTATATGTAAACTATATGCATGTAATTATTTATTTTGTAAGGGGTGCGAGAATATATCAGAAGTGTTCTAGGGGTGTGGGGTGTAGAAAAGGTTGGGAACCCCTGCACTAATCTATTTGAAGCTAGATTGCAGGCTTAGTATTCAGATGGAGCTTACTTAGAATTTTAGCTTAAATACACCCTTTTAAACATGGCACTCTAAATTCCTGGGCCATGCTTTGCCTACCCAAAGTCTAGCCTTGTGCTTGACTGAGAAGTTTTAATCTTTAATATAAAGCTTAACTTCTTGCCAGTGGGTGAGCTCCTATAATAAATTTTTGATAGTTTTCATTTGCCGTGGACCTTTCACGTTTCTTAAGAGGTCCCTAAGGGGGGCATGCATAAGCGCACCAGCATGCCTACCGTCCCTGTCCTACTGTTCCCATTTATATGTACTCATTTTATGTGTTTATGGCTATGTTTTGCTTATTTATTTCCTTTTATATGTGTCCATGTCTATGTCTATACTGTTGCTTGTTTCCTTGTACTTGTTGACAAATAAATAAATAATAATAAATAAGAAGAAGACTTTATTAGCTAAAGTGCTGGCCTATACCTGTTCACTGGAGTTTTTGCTATTTATTAAAGTCTGCAAAGGCATCTAAATAACTTATTATTTTGGAACTGCCCCAAACACTTAAGAATTTCTTCTTAGGCATATCGTAATGTCTTCTCCTTTCTTCTTTCTTGTTATGAGGAACATTAATTCCAACATTAAAGACATCCCTTAATTAACCCTCTTACAATCTCGTTTTCAATTTATGTTAATTCTATAATTGTTTTAATTGGTGGTTATATTCTGTTTTAGTAGTTAGTTTTATTGTTCACCAGACAGAGTTATCTTATGTGAGATGGGCAGCCATATACATTTGATAAATAAATAAAATAGAAATAAACATCGCTTCCTCTTGCAAAAGGCAATCAAAAGAGTTTGGTGTGTTTTCTTTACTGTGCATTTTAGTAAGTTCATTATGGTCACTTTAGTAAAATTCCTAGGTCACACAGATGAATTCTTCCAGTCTCTCTCTTGTTTGAGCAGACAACCTGCTAATATTTACAATGTACCTATACTTTGTATGACAGCACACAGAATGAGACAGGGAATAACAAGGAGTTGTAGAATGATTGGAAGTCCAGTCACCATTCTTTTCTCTCGCTGTCTATTATGTTACTGCCTATTTTCCTTCAATATGTACTATTGTTTGGATTTGTTTAGCTTTCATATGGCAACTTATTGGCCTTTTGTATAATAGAGATGGCCTATCTACTATGTATCTATAAATCTATCCATCCATTCATCTATATACAAGGTCAGATGAATCAGTGGTAGTGCGATTTTGAAGAATTCAATAGAAACAGGAAAAGAAAAAAAAAGATACAAGTGGTGATTTTCTCATTGCAGATTATTATTAAAAGTAAAAGATGCAGGAACAAGAGTCACCTGATGAAAGTGTGAATTCAAGTGTGAAATGCACGTTATTAAAGATGCAGTACATCTCTTGGGTGTTTGTCTTGCAATATGCGAGTGAGCTTCAAGGTGTTGATTATCACCTTTAAAGCTCTCCATGGCATAGGACCTAGTTATCTTCGAGACCACCTGCTGCTACCGACGGCCTCCCATTGACCTGTGTGCTCCCACAGAGAGGGCCTCCTCGGGGTGCCATCAGCCAAACAATGTAGGCTGGTGACCCCCAGGGGGAGGGCCTTCTCTGTGGGGGCACCTACCCTCTGGATTCAGCTGCCCCCAGTGATAAGGAGAGTCTAAGACCTCGGTGCCTTCCGCCGTGCCCTTAAAACCTTCTTTTTCCAGCAAGCCGGGCTGGCCTAACACTTTTTAAAATGTTTTTAATTGTTTGTTATTGTTTTTAATTATGGGGCCAAATTTATATATATCTTTTTAATTGTATTTTAATGTTTGTAGTTTATGCTTTTACTTGGCTGTTCACTGCCCTGAGTCCTCAGGGAGAAGGGCGGTATACAAATTTAAAAATAAATAAATAAACAAACAAATAAATAAATAAATAAATAAATAAATAAATAAATAAATAAATAAATAAATATCATCCATAGTTAAGTCACTGAGGCTACTATATTATATATTCTGAAAAGATACTGTATGTATATCAGAATAGGAAGCCCCAAAGTCAACACTGGCGGCTGATGAAAATAATACATCTTGGGAATTTACACCTCTTCCACTTAACCAAAAAGATGCAGGATGCAAGCAGATATTCAGAGATAAATGTAATGCCAAAAATATACATTTGGACTACAAAAAAAAAAGAGAGAGAGAGAGAGAGAGAGAGAGAGAATATCATGAAAGTCTGGAGAATATTATGATATGCAGTTGACAAGGTTATTAATCATTATGGCTAAATGAAATATGCAAGCTAAACAATGCTATATAAATATATATTTAAAAAGAATAGAGCATCCAGACATCCAGAAGATGGCATAGATGGAAAAACCTTCACAGAAAAAAAATTATTTTTGAAGAAATTAGAAAGCAGCATTTAAAAATTCAAATATCTGGAACAGCATGAAACAGACGGTAAGTGAAAAAAGAACAGGTGAATATTGATTTTGATCAATGTGGATAACCTGTCATAGCTTTGAATAAAAAGGGAGTGAACAAAATTCAGTGAAAGTAACGTTAGTCTTGTACTTTAACTTGGCCAACTTCTTGAGGTACCTAGTTTTGAAAGTTGTTCTAAAGTAAAAACAACAACAAATGAATTCAATGTCTTTAAAATGCCTTGAAAATTATTCATTTTCAAATTTTCAATTATTAAATGATGAAAGCATGATTTTCGACTACCTTGTAAAATTTTCAGAGAGATGGATTGGGGAATAAGACAGCAGGAAAAAAAATATATAGGAAAGAACTCAGCATCTTTGAAGATGTCTATGGGGGAAATGAAGAGATGTGGGCAAATAATTTTCTTTTCTCATAAGATGTTTTTATGTCTCCTCAGAACCAAAATCACATTTTGAAAATATGCACTTTCCTTAAAAGAAGACTAGAGAATACTGTTAACATACTATGTTGATATTCACTTCTTAAGTATGCTATATGTGTGTTGTGGCTATAAAGCAATAATTTTATTGTCTAGTTAGATCTTCTAAATTTCTTCAGATTGTGGCTTATATTTATGCATTTTTGCTGCAGAGAAGGCAATAGAAATCAGTGATTGATTTTTGTGCTTTATATTTATTTTATTTTATTTTATTTTATTTTTGCGATTTATATGCCACCATTCTCCTGAAGGACTCAGGGCGGCTTACAACAACAATCAATAATACAAATAACAAAATAAGTTAAAAACCCCTTAAAAACCATATTTAAAATTATTACAGTTTGTGCAACCCCTAGCAGATCAAGTTATTTGACAGAAGAGCCACGTCTTCAGTTCACAGCAAAAGGAGATGAGGTCCGGGGCTATCCTGAGCTCTGTGGGCAAATCATTCCAGAGGGTCGGTGCTCTGACAGAGAATGCTCTCCCCCTGGGGGCCACCAGTTGACATTGTTTGGCCGACGCACCCTGAGGAGGCCTGCTCTGTGGGAGCGCACGGGACGGTGGGAGGAAGGCAGAAGATGGTCCTGCAAGAACCCCAGGCCTAAGCCATGTAGGGCTTTATAGGTAAGCACCAGCACCTTGAAACGGACCCAGAGAGCAACCGGCAGCCAGTGCAGCTCACGCAGGAGAGGTGTTGCATGGGAGTAACGAGGAACTCCCGTAACTACCCGCGCGGCCACATTCTGGACCAGCTGGAGCCTCCGGATGCATCCCAAGGGCAGCCCCATGTAGAGGGCGTTGCAGTAATCCAACCGAGAAGTAACAAGGGCGTGGGTGACCGTGGCGAGGGCATCTTGGTCTAGGAAAGGGCGCAACTGGCGCACAAGACATACTTGTGCGAAGGCCCCCCTGGTTGCGGCCATCAGATGGTCATCCATGGACAGCCGAGAATCCAGGAGGACACCCAGATTGCGAACCCTAGCGGAGGGGGTAAGAGTGTCCCCTCCTATCACTAAAGATGGTACCTCTAGATCCCGCGATGCCGGCATTCCCAGCCACTCAGTCTTGGATGGGTTGAGTCTGAGTCCAAGCCCGCACTGCCTCCAGGCAACAGGACATCACGGAAAGGGCATCCCTAGGGTGATCTGGGGTGGAGATATAAAGCTGGGTATCATCCACATATTGGTGATACCTCACCCCAAAACCACAAATGATCTCACCCAGCGGCTTCATATAGATATTAAAAAGCAGGGGGGAGAGAACCAATCCCTGAGGCACCCCACAAGTGAGGGGCCTCTGGTAGGATCTCTGACCCTCGCCGATACAAACTGCAAGTGGCCCAAGAGATAGGAGGAGAACCACTGCAGAACAGTGCCTCCTATCCCCAACCTCCCGAGTCGCTGCAGGCAAGATCTTTTATCATTTCAAGAATAAATGTTCATTTATGCCGGAATGTAACCTGCCCTTACTTGATTTTTAAAGAGCTGATAGCTCTTATAGGTAAACCCTGTTTCACTAACATGGCTGCTATAGAAAAATATAAATGGTATTAAAAAGTATTTTGTATAGTTTTTGGATGCTTTAAATTATGAATTTATTTTTTAAAAATCATAGCATTTTGAGGATGGCCATTTCTGTTTTAGTTATCAATAATTTTTCAAAATAATCTATTAAGAGTCTATATCAGCCTATATCAGTAAATCTATGAATAGTTAACAGGATAATATGTGGGTATCTCCTGCATATTGATTACCTAAAACAGAAAGTCTGCTCAGATATTTTCCTGTAGAGGTGGAAGGCTCAGTATAGGAGTAGAATATAACAGAACTGTCCTTTTATTCCTTAAGCCTCTATGCATCAAATATATGAGAATTTAGGAGAAAAGAAGGTTTAAATGCAAGGGTGATCCAGTTACACGTATGAATTGGGCAGTTTTTCTTCAAGATAAAAATTATTCACTGCAAGAAGGAATGGATTCAGGGTATGAATCTGTGGCCTATTTTTGAAAAATCCTTGTGTTCTAAAAATGAGAGGACTGAGCATATGATCTAGATTTAATGATAAGCTAATGATTAAATTAATTTGGTATCGAAATCAGTGGATATTATGCAAATCCTTCCTCTTTTTTTATATGTGGTAGTATAATTTAGCTTATTCTTTGGAAGCAGAACTACATGAAGATGGAACTTAAAATTCAGGCTGGGAATAGAAATTATTCTTCCCAGGAAAATTATGTTAAATGAATATAATTTATTGATTTAATTGATTCATCTATGCCCTGATTTTCCACAAATTACAACAGTAACAGATTTGGAACAATGTCCAGGAAGAAAACATAGTTATTTCAGAATTCTGCTTTCACTTTTTGTAGTTACAGACAGCAGAGAAATGAAAACTTTTTCTGCAGACCTTAAAGCAGAGAAATACGTTGTTCAGAAAAGCAAAATTAGCTGTGAACAATAAACATGGTTATCTGGCTAGTGATATATTTATGAAAAGGTTGTAAAAAATACTATTTAAAAAAAAATTAAACTATCCTCTTAAATAGTTTACAAATTGCAAAGTCAACAAATAGAATGCCCAGATTCTGTCAATTCTGTCATTTTTCATCTGAGAGGATGGACAAAGCTAAGAGGAAATAAAATAATTTCTATGTCTTGAAGTGATTTGATGACATCGGCAGTTAGAATGAAACCCCTGAATTGCATTCTGCCAGCTGACACTTTGATGGCTACATAATAATATTGGCAGTATAGCCTTTTGTTGCACCATGTAGAGATAGAGAAACGATCTGTGTTTTTGCATTTACTCTGAAATGTTCCAATTTGGATGGAATAATAGGACTTAATGTGCAGTTGTTATCCTACCCAGAAATCTCAGTGAAATCAGTTAAAACCAATCAGTGTGTAGGCAAAAGGCGATTTGATTTCTCTTAGTACCACTAGGGTGGCTGAACCTACGCTTCTGCCAGAAATTATAGCACTTTGTATCTTATTATGATATTAGGATCAGAACAAGTGTTCTGAAACTGACATATTTTATTGCTGAATATGTTCTATTTGAAATGAATCTCCAAAAATCTTTATATTACACAATCTTTATGTTTATTTTGGCCATACTCAGGTAGCAATTTAATACCTTTCATATATTTGACAAGCATTTCTAAATCAAGAATTTAAGTTTTAAAATCTTATTACTATAAAATATAGAATATAAATCACTTTTGCCATAGATTCTGCTAGGGAAGAACTGGTTCTTTTAAAATTTTTTTCCAGTAAATCCATGACTGAATGAAAGGCAGGATGAATATGGTTTGATTAGTATTTGTCCTTCTTTGGGGAGAGAGGGGAGAAATCCAACTTTTCAAAAAAAGAAAATAATATTTTCTTTCATTTCCCTGGAAAAATGCTGTACATGCTCATGTATATGTGAGACTCTTGGTAGAGGCTGCTCCTCCTCTGTGGCATTTCCAGGAATAAACTTGCGATCATATAGCATTATTTAATCACATCATCCATCTATGAAGCTTTGCAAAGAAGCAGCATACTGAATAGGGAACAACATTATTCTCTTGTGCTTGTAAGTGTGCAGTTTATTTATTTATTTATTTAAATTTGATTTATATGCCGCCCTTCTCCGGAGACTCAGGGTGGCTTACAATGCGTTAAGCAATAGCCTTCATACTTTTGTATACTTATACAAAGTCAGCTTATTGCCCCACAACTGGGTCCTCATTTAACCTACTTTAGAAAGGATGGGAGGCTGAGTCAGCCTTGAGCCTGGTGAGATTCGAATTTACAGTAATTGCAGACAGCTGGTGTTAATCACAATGCTTTTAGTTTGCTGAACTACCAGGCCCGGTAGCTTTAGTTTGGCTTTAGTTAGAAAGAATCACCCTTATACACTTTCAGAAGTAAATGCAACCTTTTTTTTTTTTTAACATACCAGGGATTTAATATCCATATATTTTAGAAAGAAGTTTGACCACAAAGTTTGCCATTATAAAAATCAAATTCTTATTTAAAGACCATGAACATTACTGGAATATGACCATTGTTGATTTGAGGGTATTTTGGTTATTATAATTTCTGAAGCAAATTATGTATGCAAGTTCAGTAGTTCCATGGAAAGGCATAACCATTTTCAAAGATTTCTGTTTGTTCCCATCTATTTTATAAGGGTAGTGCTAGTCAGCATTCAGTTAGTTCCCAATAGTATTTTAATCTCTGCTGAACAATTTGACACAGAATAGAGCTAATTAAATATGAAACAGTTCTGGCCATTTTTCAGGCTGATTGTTCAGTGTTGAAGGTCACACTTGAATTTGTTTTGCCATTGTCATGGTAAGATCCCAATCTTCCATTCTACAATCAAGGAACCGTACAACCAAATAGCACAAATAAAGCTCAATTCTTATGGTTTTCATATTAAACACACTTGGAACAATGTGAAAGAAGCTCAAGCAAGTTGTAGCCTTAACAATCTAAAGAAACAATTGCAAAATTATAATGTAACAGGTATTAAGATATATAAATTAAAATTTAAATGCAAGCTAATTTCTATTACTTAAACAACAGTACCGGGACAATAAAAACTCAAATGCTAAGGTTATTATCATTGTAACAGAGGTTTCTTAGATGATTAAGTCCACCTTCCTACAATTCAGGAATTCAAATTAAAGCAACTTCAGCAGATTTTCCTTAAAAAAATTATTGACAACCTCCCAGTTAAAGCCATATTTAAACTCCTTGAAGCAATAGATATATTGTATTTTATATTGGCTAATACATGATAACATTTGTACAACAAACAGGTTATGCATGCCAACCCTAACCAACGATGTTCCCAATTTTCCATGTTTTGCACTTTACTCATGTCAGTATGAGAAGGAATAGAAACGAAAGTGTAAGCAGGAGCCTTATTTAATTTTGTTCTCCAAATGTGTAAAATATGTAAAAAAAGCTCATAAATGGATGAGTCAGGAACTTGTAAAAAAGCAAGTGTTGCCATTACTGTTTACCTATGGACAAATATCTATGCTATTCATACTTCCATAGGAATCTACTGATAAATATTTATGATTTATTATGGGGACAAATACCCCTTCAAAAATTAGTAAACACCAACTCTCAGCATCTCTTATCATAGTCCTTGCTGTCTGGGATGAAATTTTATTTAAAATTAGCAAAACCATATCATAACTATGCAAAGCATAAGTTGTATTTAAATCTTCCCCCTCAAAACATTTAATTGATATGATTTTTTTCCCCTTGAAGTTTTTGCTTATATGTCTTGGTGGAAAAAACCTGGAAAAAATATATTAGTGTTTTAAAAAGGGATTGATATAAGGCAAATGACACTGGAGAATTCTAAAAAAGCCACTAGTCTAATATTAAAATTATATTCAACCTCTCAGTTCATTATGTCAGTATTTAAAATAAGGATGGGACATATATTATAAAGCTCTTTATAAAATCCACAATGACAATATTCCTTGGCATATATTGACTCAAATATATGATAAACAGTGTCTATTAATTTTGGATTAATTTGAATCAAATGGATCACCTTCAGCCTGCAACTGTTTAATTTAGCATTTATAGACCCATACAGAAAGTATCTCCTACGATAGCACTAGCAATAGTAATATGCACTTAGACTTATATACCGCTTCACAGTGCTTTACGGCCCTCTCTAAGTGGTTTACAGAGTCAGCATATTGCCCCCAACCATCTGGGTCCTCATTTTACCCATCTCGGAAGGATGGAAGGCTGAGTCAACCTTGAGCCTGGTGAGATTCGATTTGCCAAACTGCTGGCAGCCGGTGATTAGCAGAAGTAACCTGCGAAACCACACTCTAATCACTGTGCCACCACGGCTCTTATATCACCATATATAACTTGTAAAAATCCAGATGATCACTCGATGGTAGCCAAAAGATTAAGAAAATGCTATATATTTTTCAGCATTGCCTAGCCATTTGGCATTTATTTAGGTTTTCCTCCTCTTTATATCTAACAATGGAGAGTGAAGTGTAAGAATAATATCTTTTAGAAACAGCTGAATCCAGTGCTTCTTCCCCAAAGAGTCAAGCTATATTTTTATATTTCTCTTTCCATGTTGAGTTACAGAGATATTGTTGTGC